AACTCCTATCCCAAACACAATGCAATATGCATGACATGCATGAATGCAACTAATATACAACCTAACATGCACGATGCTATGAAATGGCATACATGATGCACGAGGTAACATGGCATACACAATGCGCTAACGTACAACCTAGCATACACAATGCTATGAAATGAAATGGCATACACAATGCACAATGGACTTACACCAACATGAATGGACCTCAGCCACACTCACATCAGTAGTCATGAGATGAAAAATGAGACACTCGAGATGCGTGCACACATGCACGCAAACCGAGGACCGATCCTAAGGCACAAATGCCACTCTAACAAAGTATAGCAAGGCACGAAATATGGCATATAGACATGCAAGTTTCAGCGCTGAAATGTGATGCAAAATGATCCCGAAATATGGAAACATGGCACCCGATGCATGGAATGGCCCCGAAATACAAAACTAGGCATATGCATTGGCCTATAGCTATACAAAGCATGCATTATTTGATCATGAAGCATGAAGACAGAGGTAAGATAGTCCCAAAACATGCATATTTCTAGTTTATAACAAGCCTCAAAAATGAATGCAAATAGGGCTAATCTTTCATGCAAAAATGGTCCTAAAATAGAGATTAAACACAAAGGGACAGAAGCTGGCCCCAAATGGCAAAGAGCCCTTCGACAAAGTTGGAGAGGGGCTCAAAAAAGGGCACTTTACAGTTTACATCAAGCCACGAAAATAATCACAAATAAGGCCAAACTATCATGCAAGAAAAGGCCTAAAAGAGGGATAAAGAGACAAGTAGCAGCTGCTGTTCTCAAACAGAGGAGAGCCCTTCAACAAAGTTGAAGAGGGGCTCAAAACAAGACATTTCACAGTTTATGGAAGAGTCCAAAACAGCTTACAAATGAGCCTAAACTACAATGAAAAAATTGGCCCAAAAGAGAGATAAAGAGGCAAGTGGCAGTAGGGGACCTCAAATAGAGAAGAGCCCTTCAACAATGTTGAAGAGGGGCTCAAAATAAGACTATTTACAGTTTGTCTTGGAGCCCAGAAATGATCAAAAACAAGGCTAATATATCATGCAAGATTAGGCCCTGAGAGAGAGATAAAGAAGCAAGTGGTAGTAAGAGACCTCAAACAGTAGGAGGTCCTTAATAAAACATGAAAAGAGGCTCAAAATATGACTATTTACAGTTAGGGTCAGAGCCCGAAAGTGTAAGCAAGTATGGCTTAGATATGGAACAAAACAAGGCAAGAAAGAGGGAAAATGGGACTCACCTTTGTAGAACCAAGCTTCAACGACTTTTGGACCAAGTTTAGAAGCTCTTCACCTCTGGAAATCAGCTTCAAAGGTCTGGAATGGAGTATGGAGGCTTTGTGCTATGAGGTAGTGTAGAAATGGTGTAGGAAACTTGGGGTTTTGGAGCTTGGAATAGAGAGAGAGAGAGAGAGAGAGAGAGAGAGAGAGAGAGATAATGCAAAAGCCTTAAAGAAAATTTTGTAACCTCTGGAAACACAGCTGGGGGTGCTGGTTATATAGGCAAAGGAGTGGAGGAAAATGGGGGAAAATGAAATTCAAATTTCCCCCAAAAAATAGGCCTAAAAGAGAGATAAAGAGACAAGTGGTAGCTGCCGGCCTCAAACTGAAGAGATCCCTTCAACAAAGTTGAAGAGGGACTCAAAAAAAGACATTTTACAGTTTATGACCAAGTCCGAAACAGCTCACAAATAAGCCTAAAATACCATGCAAAAATAGGCCTAAAAGAGGGTTTAAACACAAAGAGCAAAAAGGGAGCCTCAAACAGTAAAGGACCCTTGATCAAACATGAAGAGGGGGTCAAAATATGACTCTTTACAGTTTGGGTCGGAGCCCAAAAATGCTTACAAGCAAGGCTTAGATATAGAGAAAGATAGGAACAAAAAAGAGGGAAAAGAAGCTTACCCTTGAAGACCAATGGACCAGCAGCTCTTGGTCTAAGAAATGGTGCTCCTAAGCTCTGAAAAACAGCTCCAAGTTGTTGGAATGGATGGTGGTGGGGTGTATACCAAAAACCGGAGCAAACGGAGGTGGTTAAGTGGTCCCGAACAGAGGCACACGGCCATCGGCCCCAAAAAATCGAAAACCGGGCTCCAAATGAGAAAAATGGCCTACGACCATGAAACGTAGCCTACGGCCACTGAGAGATGATCTACAAGACCTCTCCCTCCCTTCGGGAAGAGAAAACAGAGAAAAGGGAGCCTGGTTCGCAAACCAAGGCAAGACACGAAAGAGCCCGGAAGTCCGGAGGCAAGGCTCGCAGCCGAGACTCTGAAACTTCTGAACAAGTACAATATGCACCATCACCGAGCGCTCAATCGATGATGTCTGAGTCTTAAGGTCGGTCAAAAATGGGATGTCTACACACATACATGCTCATATTTATGTTAAGTCCATGAATCCATCTTGTCTTTGAAGATATTAGGTCAATAGAGCATGTAGGCTTATAAGTTGTTTAAGTTCATGCATGTTGCATGTTCATCTTGTTCATGAAAATTGGTTTGAAATTGGATTTATTTGAACTACCTTTGGGCTTTAATTTTTACAATTGAGCTTTGAATCATGTTAAACTAAGAGTTTTGAAGTGTTTTTCAGGAAATGGGCCCAAAGGAATCGAATTTGATACATTTGTAGTTGAATTTGAGCTTGAGGTTCAAATCTGGAAATTTCAGATTTTGAACTCACGCTCGAGCGGGGTGACTGGCGCTCGAGCGTGGAAATCGTGCTCCCAGCATTTTGTTCTGTTTTTAAGTCAACTCGAGCAGGGTGTTTTACGCTCGAGCGAGACGTTGTGTTTTACGCTCAGCGGGTGTCAAGCGCCCAATCGAGCGTGAATTTCACCTATCCAGCACTTTTGACTGTTTTGAAGTACGCTCGAGTGGTTGAGTCTGCGCTCGAGCGGAAACCTTTGTCTGCATGTCCGCTCGAGTGGATTAACCTACGCTCGAGCGGGACCCCTGTTTTCTAAAAATGCTTTTAAAGTGCATCTTTGCATCCTCATTTCATCCTAGGCATTCTTAGGCCTAGTTTAAGGCATCTTAATGAGGGTATAGATGTAGAACCACACCGAGGCAAATTAGGGATTAAATTATTATCTTTCCCAACTGTGTAGCTTAGTGTGTGTTCAATCTGTAAACTGTGTAGGGTTGGCGACTGGGGACGCGCTCTAGCCTAACTGTAGCCCAGAACTCTGTGAGTAACAACTGTGTAAAGATATGTTCAAAAATGATTATCTTCTGAACAATTGAACTGTACTGTTTTCTGAATTGATACTGTTAATAGAATGAATGTATGTCCTCTATTCTGAACTATATTGTGGCATCCTTAGCAATTACTGTTACTGACTGTTACTGTTACAGAGATCTCTGTTGGTTCCTTTGTTGGAACCACTACTGTTTACTGATTGATGGCCATAATTGACTGTTCGGTCTTTCAAGACCTACTGTTTACTGTACTGTTATGCTAATGGATGTACCACATATGGCTGTACTGACTGAACAACTAAAATACTGATTTAATAAACTATTTTCATTACTGTAAGGACATTCATTCTAAATCTCTTTACGCATTATGTTATTTACTGAGCTTTAGTTCACTGCTCATATATATATGTAGGTGTACAGGCACCAGACCGCGGCTAGAAGCGTCGGGGTAAGCTCCAGTTTTGTCAAGCCAACCACTGTGCCTCACTGCGAGGTTCCGAGCCTGTCGAGCTATGGCTTAGGGGTGTTTTAATTTCCCCCGTCTGTCTCTGTAACTGTTTTGTATAGACTGTTACTGTACTGTTTAATAGGGATTAGGTCCCTGATTTGAATGATTATAAATGTTGTACATACTGTTCTGCACTGTGTATATATATATATATATGAAAAGTCTTTTTGGCATTCAGACTGTCACAGCTCATTGGACATTGTTTATTTACTGTATTGGCTTCCGCCAAGCCCCTGTACTCTGTTTTACTGTATTACGGTTAAGCAGGCCTTCGGTAATCTCTGATTACTGGCCGGTTACGGTGCTAAAACCCATAGGGGCGGGTTTGGGTCGTGACAACATTACACTATTACTATAGTAATATTCAACAAATTCTTTTTTTCCAGTCAGAAATTTTGCAAATAAAATGTAAACTCTAAATATATATTTTCGAAGAAAACCATTTTTACATACATTTCATCAAATCAAACACAGAATACAAACAAATTTGTAAGAAAAAAGATGGAAAAAAAAAATCGAAAATCATCAACACACATTTTAAAACACTATTCAAAGCTTATAGAGTTCGAAATCTTACCTGGAAGTCGTAACAGCAACTTCTCACCGATGAAACTCTTTTACATTGTGTACTGCCAACGACGATTGGTTCAAAACCTCAAGCTTTTTCGTCTTCTTCACAATCGATGATCGCCTCCCTCTCTCTCTTCTTTCTCTGAACAATTCGATTTGTATTGTGAATATATTGATTAGGGATTTTGTGAACAAAGGGCTTTTCGGTCTTTTTGCAAGCAAAAGCAAGGGTCACATGGTCATTTTCTATTAGATACTAACGTTGTTTGTGCAAAATAGACGGAATGGGAGAATCTTGACATTGTCAGGTAAAGTAGAGAATGTTACTGTAATTATTCAAATCATAGGGGAGGTCCCTGAATTTGTCAGAAACCTCAGGGGAGGTAAATGTAATTTACCCTATTTTTATCTTTTTTTCATCACATCATTTCTTTATTTTTTTACACATCTTTTCATAAAAAGACAAAAAATATACTTATTTAAATCATCACAAATAACCAATTGTCCATACTGGACCACCCACTGCTACACATTGATGATTCAAGGGAAAAAAAAATTCAAAGAAAAAGATATTTATTTTATTTTAATTTCATTTCATTTTATTCGAGAATGATGAATTGAATCCACGGCCTTAAACAAAAATGCGAACACGTAAATCGTCGTTTCCTTTTTATCGCCCTCTTCAGATACGCGCGCTCTCTCTCTCTCTCTCTCTCTCTCTCATCCTGTTTCTCTCTCTAGAACGGGGCACCATTTCCGTTACTTCTAGCCTAGGGCCCACAAGTCAGAGCCACCACAGACAAAAAAAGAAAAATCGCAAGTAAAACCCTTGAAAAAAACAAGAAGAAAATTTCAAAATCTGTCTAATCACGAAATCAAAATCTGAATATCAATTCCTCATTTGAAATGCTCAATCTCTGATTCTGAGCTAGGGCTTCACGCAGATTGTGTTTGGAGGAGCTAGCCCTGTGAAAACCACCATGGGTATTTGCACCTCCAAACCCAATTACTCCGGCGATGGTCGTGCTATTCCGGCCAAGGACAACGCTATTCCTGCCAAGGACAACGCTAAAGCATCTAATAATGTGGAAAACCCTGAAAACCAACCAAAGAAAGAGGAGGTGGAGGTAGGTAAGAAATCGCCATTCTTTCCGTTTACCAGCCCGAGTCCGGCGCACTATTTGTTCTCGAAGAAGTCTCCGGCGAGATCTCCAATGAATCCGAGCTCCAATTCGACGCCAAAACGGTTCTTCAAGATGCCGTTCCCGCCGCCGTCCCCGGCGAGGCACATTAAGGCGGTGTTGGCGAGGAGGCACGGGTCGGTGAAGCCTAACGAGTCCGGGATACCCGAGGGTGGTGGTGCGGGGTTGGATAAGAGTTTTGGGTTTTCGAAGCATTTTGGGAACAAGTATGAGCTTGGGGAGGAGGTTGGGAGAGGGCATTTTGGGTATACTTGCAAGGCAAAGTTCAAAAAGGGTGAGCTTAAGGGACAAGATGTTGCGGTCAAGATCATTCCAAAAGCAAAGGTTTGACATTTTTCTTTCCTACTCTATCGATATCATGTGAATTATTGAGATTTTCTTGGTCAAATATATGTGATTTTGTAATTGTTGGAGTTCAGTTTTAGCTGGATTGGTTTTGGCGATGTGGAGATCAGATCTGTAGGTGGAGATAAATCTTGGTCTTATGAACTGGTAGTTGGTTCGATTAAAACCCAAATCCCTTTTAGTTATTTTGTGTAATTAGACTTAATGCATGCAAGTATGCTGAAACTGTCATTCAGGAATGCGTTATAATCGGAATAAGTGCTGATATGTGAAATTCATATATCCAAACAATGGGGTGTTGATTTATAATAGCTAAGTTTTGAGGAGATAAGGCAACATGAAAAAAAAGTAATCTTGTAATTGATTCCAACGCATTGCTACATTTTTCTGGTATTGGGCAGTTTGTAGATTGGCTAAATTGATAAAGGTTCAGTAGTGGCATAGTAAACGGATTTATCAGTGTAAATGGTCATTGTACGGGAGCAAATATTCTCTATTTTCGTACTCTTGCGACCAAGCTTTGTAATGCTCTGAGCGGCGTCGTACAGCCTGAAAACGCAACGGCGGTGAGCTACCTAGCAGGTGTATTGCCGGAAAACTGCTCTGACGGTCAAGTTAGTTCACTTGAGGAAGAAGGAATGCGGAGAAAGGGAGTGTGGCCAAAGTTTGCAAGTTTGCTTACCCTTCTCAAGTTGCCCATGTGCACTTTATCGAGGCTAGCCTTGCAGCCCAAGATTGTGCGTGCACTACTTCTGCTGTCATTTGCTGGATGCGTGGTTGTACTGGCCTCTCTCTTCTTTACAAGTGTGCGCTTCAATATTGCCAAACAGTATTGGACAAACCGCCAAACAGTATTGACGCATACTTCAAGTGTGTTCCTCGCCGTAATTCATTGGGCCACGTGGAATGCTCTAGTCGAGCAGTCACTTCTTTTATCCTCAAGCATACTAGCTCTAGAAATCCCCTTGCTGAGCTAACATAGGTCGGCCACCTCGACCGACTTCCTTGCATGGCCTAAACCATCATAGCACTGATCTTCAGTTCGGTCAAAGATCTTCAACTCGGTCATATGTGGCGGGCTCATTCATAACTTGACTTGGCTCATGACCGAGGCACAATTCAAAGTATTGCTCGGTCTACACACAACCCGGTCTGCGCTAATGGCCCAAACCCATCCTAGCTCGGTCAACCGTAAAGGCGCGGGTCCAACTCCAGTTTAGACTTGCATTGGCCCGGCTCGTGCTAACAGACCAGATCATGCCTAACTCGGCCCTACATCATGGATCGTATAGGTTTAGCTCGGACCATTTGTTCGTCACAACCCCTCTCAGTCATGGTGAAAATTGAAATTTTGTTCGTGGATGGGCAGTTTAAAAGGTCAATTCACTTTTTTTTTCATTAAAAAATTGGCTCATATTCATTGATTCTGAATCTTTTGAAGTTTAGCCCTTTTTGGCAGTATCAAATCTTTAGAGGTATAAGGTTCCGTTTCCAAATATGATGGACTACTCTCAAAATTCTTGGCCTCTATTAGGAATAATTACAATAAATAGTTTGAAGTTTTTGTGAGGGGTAGTAAATAGTTCAACCATTCAATGTGCTTTTTGCAAACTATCATTCTTTTTGGGCTTAGGTCATGCCCATTTGTTCACTAGAAGGTATGTTATCCTTTTGTATTAAAGCTCCATACTTTTACAACGAGAATGGTGCTAGATTGCTAGTTTGTTGACCTACATTTTCTTTTGCAACTTTAGGATAGATGACAGGTTATGTGTTTCTCTAATTTAGAAATTGACTGATAAATAAGGTTATTTGGAGGTTAAGAAGTGTGGTATTATCTTCCATGGTGCTTACTTTCATTGATTTATATAAATAAGGTTATTTGGAGGTTAAGAAGTGTGGTATTATCTTCCATGGTGCTTACTTTCATTGATTTATTCTTCCTTTCGTGTGATGCCAGAGCAGTACATGGACAAATTCATGGTTGGGGCTTTAGAAAGTAATACATAGATAACTTTATTGCCCAGTGTTCATTACTTTTGTTTTTTTTTTTTTTGGTGATAAATAAGTAAATTTATTAGAAAAGTATCAAGAGGATGCAAAGAATACAAATTTGAAACCTCCAATGAAACAATGCTAAGCTATCAAATCCTCTATGAAATCAACATAAGCTAAGACATCTGGATCAACCGATTCCGTAACCCAATTATATAACACCAAAAAAACCAGTCTCTCCAGCCAAGAAATCGACTGAGACACCCCTTGGAATACATGCATGTTATGCTCCAACCAAGTAGGCCACATTAAACAGTGAGAGGCAATCAGTCATGCCTTTTAACGTCTCTTTCCAACCCTCCCTCCAGCCCAACTTTGCAAGACAACCAACACCGAACAGGGCTGCACCCAAACCAATCCAAAAATCCCCACAATAAGCATCCAGAGCTGGTATGTAATTGGGCGATGAACGAGCAAATGGTCCACCGACTCAGCAGCACTACCACACAAACAACACCAATTCACCAGTATATGCCCACGACGCATCAGATTATCAATCGTAAGAATACGTCCTAAGACTTCGCCCACTCAAAGAAAGCCACTTTGGAATGCGTGCCCGACACTCAGATACATTTCCAAGTAAACAAAACCGCATCAACATGAACGAGCGCACCATAGTAGGAAGACATAGAGAAAAGCCCCCGAGAACCGAGACAAACCCAAACCATAGAATCTTCCTCTACACTCCCAAGTTGCAACCCCGTGTAAAAAACCCAATAGCTCCACTATCTCCCAATCTTGAATCTCACGACGCAGCCGCACATTCCATACCACCGCCTATCCTTACCTTGTTCGAGCCACCTCCACCATAACCTCGCAATCCACTGCAATCCCAAAAATCAAAGGGAACTGATGCTCTAGAGAGGTAGCCCCACACCACCCGTCATGCCGAAAGCAAACTCTATCGCCTAACCCTACCTTCAACTGAATCCTCCGCCAAAATTCTGCCCAACCCAACCAAATCCCTTTCCAGACACCACACCATAAGAGTGTCCCATCCTACCTGAGCACCACCCCCTTCTCCCCAAACCAAACTTTGCCACAACCACCTTTCTCCAGAGATACTCTCGGTTCCCCCCAAAACGTCACAACCACTTACCCAGTAACGCCAAATTAAACAAAACCAACCGCCTAACCTCGAAACCCCTCATCTCCTTAGGACGACAGACCCGATCCCAAACCACCAAATGAGAATAAGAACCCTCCCCTGCATTGCCCCAGAGAAAATCCCGCTGCAACTTCTCAATCCGCTTCGCAATTGCCACTGGGATCAGATGAACCGACATAAAATAAGTCGGGATACTCGACAAGACATTCTTGACCAGTGTTTTAAAAGGCACTAGGCGCACCGAGGCGATAAGGTCTCCTATAGCCTAAGCGCAAGGCGAAGTGCGCGCCTCACCAAAGCGAAGCTCAAGTAATAGAAGAAAAGCAAAATTATAAAATAGGTAAATTTTTCAATATAACAAATATATATATAATATTTAAAAAATCATAATCATTTTTAATAATCTCTAAACATAACATTCAATTTTCTAAAAATTAGAAATATAATATCCAACAAAATATATAAAGTATAACATTCAATCGTTTATCACTTTTTTCTCTCTTATGACTACATTTGGTCATTTTATATTGAATAGTTTTGAATCTCTGTGGGTATGTCCACAAAAAAAGCACTTAATCAATAATTGGAGTAAAAAAATGGATAAAGCCCGTGAAGCCCACGCCTTGCTCCTTGAAAAAAAGCCTTCGTCTCAGCGCTTAAGTTGCGCCTTGCGTGTTGCGCCTCACCTCGATCTGTTCGAAGCGCAAGGCTGCGCCTCATTGCGCCTCGCGCTTGGGCTGGCGCCTAAGCGTGCCTTTTAAAACACTGCTCTTGACCAACGTAATCTTCCCGCCTTTAGATAAATATTGACGCTTCCACCCTACTAACCGCCGCTGCACACGCTCCACCACTTTGTCCCACACCATGTCCCACACCCCGAGGGCCTTGAAAGAAGCACCCAAAGGAAGATCAAGATACGAAACTGGCAGAGACGCCATCTTACAACCCAAAATCGCTGCCAACACCGGAAGCCGAACCACTTCTCCTACCGGAATTAATTTAGACTTTAAGAGATTAACTCAAAAACCAGACACAGCCTCAAAACACAGCAACACACACCGAAGGTGTCCAATTTGACCAGCGTCCGCATCACAAAATACAAGAGCATCATCTGCATAAAAAAGATGGGAGACGACCAAAGAAGATGGTCCAGAGCCCACTTCGAAATACTGCAACAGACCGCCATGAACTGCCCTCGACAACAAACGCCCCAAAGTTCCCATAACCAGAATAAACAGCAATGGAAATAGAGGATCACCCTGCCAAAGGCCTCTATATGTGGGGAAAAAACCTGTTGGAGAGCCATTGACCGACACAGACATCTGCACAGTAGAAATACAAAAATGTATCCACCGTCGCCATCTAGCCCCAAAACCCATCCTCTCCAGTATATACAAGAGAAACTCCCAACTAACATTGTCATATTCCTTCTCAATATCTAATTTACACATTAATGCCGCCTTTCGCTACCGCAACCTCAAATTCACACATTTGTTGGCCACCAAAACTGCATCTAGAATTTGCCTACCACGCACAAAAGCATTTTGAGACTCAGACACCACCCCCTTTAGCACCCCCTCCTAGAGCCAATTTGCCAAAACCTTAGCCAATAACTTATACACACTACCCAAAAGACTGATAGGTCGAAAGTCCCGAATATCCTCTGCTCCACCTTTCTTGAGAATTAACACAATAAAAGTGGCATTCAAGCTCCTCTTAACTATCCCGTCCGGTGAAACTGCTCAAACATAGCCATCACATCCTCCTTCATCTCTCCCCAGCAGCGCTGGAGAAAAGCGATGGAAAGACCGTCAAGCCCAGGCGCCTTATCCCTAGGCATACTCCGCAGAGCCTCAAACACCTCTTCGACCGAAAACGCTCTCTCTAACAACAGACAATTTGCCTCTGGAATAACATTAAATGGAACCCCATCTAACGTTGGCTGCCAAACACCCTCAACAAGCCGAAATAAAAACTCATAACCGACTATGACCCCCGTAATCTTCTTCGGGGATGATAACACCACCCATTCACCCGTAATTTTTCTATCTGATTCACTCGCAAATGCGCATTTTCCGTACGATGAAAGAAGCTCGTATTCTGATCCCCATCCTTCAACCATAAACATCTCAATTTCTGGTGAGAACTAATCTACTCCATACGAGCCACATGACCAAAAAATTTTCTCTGATATCGCCAACCTAGCCTCTGGCCGAACCACCATAGCCAACTCTGCTACCATATGTGCCCAACGAGTGTCTTTAACCCGCATCACGTCTGTGCGCCCATCCCAACCAGTCAACAAAACCACCTTTCCAGCACTGTCAGCCTATCGACAATCTCCCAACTCGCCCTCCAACGACGGCGAGCCTAGACTTGACAACCTATCCACACTCCCAGCATCATTTGCCTGACGAAAGTCAGGCGACGTCAACCCTACACGCCCCGAAGGCTATTGCAACAAAGACCCTTGCAGATCGATCGGCGGCTGAAACCCACAACCGTCACACTCCCTCGTGGAGAGAAGATTCAAAACCGGGTTAATTTGTTCCAATGTGTTCGGGTTTGATTGACCCGACCCAAAAGACCTTAGGCCATCCTCGGAGGTCTGCTGGCCCACCAAATTGGTCCCAAGGCCTAAGACGCCTAGACCATTTTTACAAGCCAAAGCCTATTTGCGCTCATCTAGATCTGCTGGCCCACTCCTTTTTTCTCCCAAATGGGCCTCACAAAAGCTGACCGACCCAGCTGGCCTTTACCCTTAGAAAACTGCCCAAATCTTCGCAGATATACCTCCACCCCCAAATTGCGCGATTCAGTCTGATCAGATCTCCCCAAATCACGCCCTACCAAATCCAATGACGCACCAACAAACAATCCTACCAGCGGCGAAAACGGCGCCATCGACGGATCTGCCTCCACCCACATCGAAAATGAGAACTGCCACGAACCCCATCGAATGGAGATATGTGACGAAGAAGATTCAGAGTTTCGAATACGCAATCAAACACAACCTAAATCAGCTAAGGACTCATCAAACCTCCATGAAGCCTCCACACTGATCGCCAACATCACGATACACTGCATCACCACATAGATGTAAAGACAAGCCCATTAGACGAATCCAAACACTCTTTGCTGAAGCCGACGTCTGACTTGAAGCACAAAGAGCCAGAGGCGACCACCATTCCAAACTCAGATCACACCCATCAAACGTCCATTGCCACTTCAACACAGAGTCCGCCTCATGCCGCGTCAGAAAAACAAACAAGAAAGCTTGGCCCCCTTACCGATCGCACTTCCACCGGGCCTAAAAACTTCCACCAACGACTGACCCAGTCGCGCATTGGCCCAAAACCCATCCCCTTTGCACCTCCTCCATCCCCTATCAAGTAGCCTGAACCACTACACCGTAGAGGTAGGTGTTACGACTTCCTTGTCAATGACACACTGACCCATCGATAATATAGCCTTCACAAGAACCGTCTATTTGTGCCTTCCAACAGATCGGGACACCCACCCATCCCCCAGTTTGAACCCCTTTAACACCAACGCAACTCCCCTCCAACCATCACCAAAAGTGGACATGGGTATGAAAATTTGCTCCCTCCGTGAGCCCATCGTCACCACAACTTGCACCGAGGACCCTCCTCCCACCTCCCCACGAACCCATATTGCTACTCCCCCCCCTGCCGATCCCATCACAGAAGGACACCCCCTGCCACCCCCAAAGTTGGTAAAAAAGTCCAATCCACAAAGCGCCCCCCCTACCCCCAAAAGCTCCCTGACAGTCTCCCCTCTAATGCACTCCATCTTTGTTTCTTGAAGACACTCTACATCCGCCCTGGCACTACGTAACAGAGATCGAACCAAGACCCTTTTCCCTCTATCATTCAAACCACGCACATTCCATGACAAAAATTTTAACTGCATGGTGACAATTATTGAGTTCCACAGCCCTTTCGACCACCCTTGCCCTCCCCTTCTTTGTCTCGATCATGATTTATAGAGCATTCCAAATTATGCAACTCCCTAGAATTCTGTTGTTTCTGACCTTTATATCGCACCTGCTGTCCCAAAGGAGCTCCCCCTCTCCAGGATTCCTCTATTGCAGAAAACAAATTTAAAGCCTCAACCTCATGGCCTTCAAAGGAAACACCCAGGTACTGACTAACCTCAGAAATACGGGACAACACGCATGTCGAAACCTCCTCTAGCTGCGGAGGATCATCTCCCTTGAAGTCCACTGCTATCTCAGGCTCAATATCAACATCCACTACATTTACCACATCTGATATCGCCAACCTAGCCTCTGGCCGAACCACCATAGCCAACTCTGCTACCATATGTGCCCAACGAGTGTCTTTAACCCGCATCACGTCTGTGCGCCCATCCCAACCAGTCAACAAAACCACCTTTCCAGCACTGTCAGCCTATCGACAATCTCCCAACTCGCCCTCCAACGACGGCGAGCCTAGACTCGACAACCTATCCACACTCCCAGCATCATTTGCCTGACGAAAGTCAGGCGACGTCAACCCTACACGCCCCGAAGGCTATTGCAACAAAGACCCTTGCAGATAGATTGGCGGCCGAAACCCACAACCGTCACACTCCCTCGTGGAGAGAAGATTCAAAACCGGGTTAATTTGTTCCAATGTGTTCGGGTTTGATTGACCCGACCCAAAAGACCTTAGGCCATCCTCGGAGGTCTGCTGGCCCACCAAATTGGTCCCAAGGCCTAAGACGCCTAGACCATTTTTACAAGCCAAAGCCTATTTGCGCTCATCTAGATCTGCTGGCCCACTCCTTTTTTCTCCCAAATGGGCCTCACAAAAGCTGACCGACCCAGCTGGCCTTTACCCTTAGAAAACTGCCCAAATCTTCGCAGATATACCTCCACCCCCAAATTGCGCGATTCAGTCTGATCAGATCTCCCCAAATCACGCCCTACCAAATCCAATGACGTACCAACAGACAATCCTACTGGTTGCGAAAACGACACCACCGACAGATCTGCCTCCACCCACACCAGAAATGAGAACTGCCACGAACCCCACCGGACGGAGATATGCGACAGAGTAGATTCAGAGTTTCGAATACGCAATCGAACACAGCCCAAATCAACTAAGGACTCATCAACCTCCACGAAGCCTCCACACCGATCGCCAACATCACGATAAACCGCATCACCACGCAGATGTAAAGGCAAGCCTATCAGATGAATGCAAACACTCTTCGCCAAAGCCAGCGTCTGACTTAAAACACAAAGAGCCAGAGGCGACCACTATTCCAAACTCAGATCACACCCATCAAACGTCCATTGCCACTTCAACACAGAGTCCGCCTCATGCCGCGTCAGAAAAACAAACAAGAAAGCTTGGCCCCCTTACCGATCGCACTTCCACCGGGCCTAAAAACTTCCACCAACGACTGACCCAGTCGCGCATTGGCCCAAAACCCATCCCCTTTGCACCTCCTCCATCCCCTATCAAGTAGCCTGAACCACTCCACCGTAGAGGTAGGTGTTACGACTTCCTTGTCAATGACACACTGACCCACCGATAATATAGCCTTCACAGGAACCGTCTATTTGTGCCTTCCAACAGATCGGGACACCCACCCATCCCCCAGTTTGAACCCCTTCAACACCAACGCAACTCCCTCCCAACCATCACCAAAAGTGGACATGGGTATGAAAATTTGCTCCCTCCGTGAGCCCATCGTCACCACAACTTGCACTGAGGACCCTCCTCCCACCTCCCCACGAACCCATATCGCTAGACTTCGACGACCTCCGCTGGGACGACCCAAGAATTTCATATTGCCTGGTGCTTGCGATGCCATCCTCAGCTTCGTCACGAACCAACATACTTCAAAACCGATGAGAACCACTGCCCGCCGAAGGCCCTTCCCCCTTTCCACAAATGAAAGACTTCAAAGTTGCTTGAAGATCTATGCCTAGATGTACTTGGATTCCCAGTTCGTCACTAGGCAAGTTTTTGGAGGATGGGCTTTTGTTCATTGTTTTATGGATAATTTATAAAGTATATACAATTCAAGTGATAGATGCATGTTTCCCAAGTGAGTGAAGTGTGTCCGAATCTATAATTTTTAAAATTCAAAAAAGTAAAATAAAAATAGCAGGGCATATGTTTGATGAGTGTCATGTCATATCGGTGTACAACACAGTGTCCAACACGACATGACACACCACTTTCTTAGAAGTTTCCATGCTTCTAGCTGTTTTGAAATGCATTTGAGATAAGATGGTATAGTGGTGTAGCTCAAGCTGTGAAAGAATCATTAGCTAATAATATGGTCCACTCCATTACTTCCTTTCTTCTTCTTCTTATTCTTTCTTTTTCTTTTTTCTTTTTTATTTTTTTTAAATTGGGGGTAAAGAAATCTTTGGATTGATTTTGAATTCCTTTTTGTGTCAGTTGACATTTGATCCCCCCGCTCATTTTTCTTTAAATGTTCCATTTCTATAGAAGCATGATAAATTTTAATTCATTTCTTGCCAGATTACAGTGTGTACCATGGCGTGTTTCTTTCAATTGTTTTTGCTTTATCTTTGTTACTCCTGATCTATTATTCTTGTAAACTAGATGACCACTGCCATAGCCATTGAGGATGTAAGAAGGGAGGTGAAAATATTAAGAGCTTTGACAGGACATAACAATCTAGTCCAATTTTATGATGCATTTGAAGACAATGAAAATGTCTACATAGTGATGGAGTAAGCTTTGATCTTTTCACTATTGAACTTCATCTCAATGGCATGCCTTTTCATCTTTAGCTAACAGCTTTATTTTAATGACTATGGAAATAATCTTCTTACTGCTAACTGAATTTGTGCTTATATTAACTAAAGTTGTGCACTGCTTGCTTGTACCAAAGTTTATTTCTAACATGCTTTGATGAATTACATTCTTTAGGTTATGTGAAGGTGGGGAGCTTTTGGATAGAATACTGTCAAGGTATCTTTTGCTATTCTGAAATATTTTGTTTTCGCATCTTCTTAATATTGATGCCATGGTGGATAAAAAAAGGAGAATTTTGAGATGCTTCAACTGGCCAGTAGTTAAATAACATATGCATAGTTGTTTCTTTTATTCTGCAGGGGTGGCAAATACACAGAAGATGATGCAAAGGTTGTTCTGATTCAAATATTGAATGTTGTTTCTTTTTGCCATCTCCAGGGAGTGGTGCACAGGGATCTTAAGCCAGAGGTGGGAGATATTCTCAAGTTTATTTTACTGGCATTAGATTAAAACCTGCTTGATTGTGTTTTAGTTTGCAGGTATGGAGCAGAGAAGAATAGCTGTTGTTGCTGCACCATCTGTTTGGGCAACTGTTGTTGTATTTGAGACGTTGTTCCAGGGCTTGAAGAGGTAATATGGGGGTGGCCAAGTATTGATGGAACACTTCTGACATCAACCGGAGATGATTTCCGGCTTGGCACTGATGTGGAGTTCTTGGGCTGCTGAGAAGACAATGAAGAAGGTTGGGCGGTGGGTTTATTGCCAGGTTGTGAAGTGGAGGTCGATGTCCTCGGGCTTCCACTGGCACCACCACCCTTGGAGATGGAAGTTGTGGGAGACCCAACCACCATTGGAGGAGATGCAGAGGACTGATGGCTATGGCTATGGCTATTCGGACCTTGTTGCTGTCCTTGTGGAACTGTCGATGATGATTTTTGGCTAGCCCCGAAAGATATCTGAGTGTGACTTTGCTGGGTTCTAGCCTGCTGCTGCTGTTGGGTAAGGTTTTTTTTTTGAAGATGATGTGGTTGATGAGGCTAACGAAGACGGAACTTGTGAGGTAGTAGTAGCTCTTGATGAATTCTTCCACTGATGAGACTGAGATGGGTATGTGTAGAAAAATTCCAGCGGGCAGCGAAGGCAAGGTTGTCGGCTGGCTGCCCGCCGGAAAGAAAGGAGTATAGGCCTAAATCTTAAGGCTCTGATACCATGTTAAAATGTATGTATTATTTGATGTATTGATGTTGTGTATATTACAAATGGTGAGTGGCTCATTATATAGGAGAGGGTGAGTGTAGTAGGTGAGGAGTAGGTGAGGAGTAGGTGATGGTAAATTGGTGGTAGGTGATGGTAAATTTTAACAATAACATTGATGACAGTTCTTCCTCATAATTGTTCCAGTGTTTAAAATTGCAAATGTGTGCTAAAAAAGATTTGCACACATGATGTTAATTATTGACTAAGACACCTATTTTAGCAGTATTTATAATAATGGTGACACTTTCTTTTAACGTTTTTGGAATTTGCATTCATCTTTTTTGGTATCTGGATCAGAACTTCTTGTTTGCATCTAAGGATGAAGACTCGCAATTAAAGGCCATAGATTTTGGGTTGTCAGATTTTGTGAAGCCGGGTTTGTCCTTACTTCCTTATTATCTTTGTAGCACTGCTGTGTATTCGTTTGGCATGGCTTAAATAGTTGATTGTTTTTAACCTTCCAACTTGTTTGCAGATGAGAGGCTTAATGACATCGTTGGCAGCGCATACTATGTTGCACCAGAAGTGCTGCATAGGTCTTACAGTACAGAGGCTGATGTCTGGAGTATAGGTGTTATAGCATATATTCTATTGTGTGGCAGCCGTCCATTTTGGGCTCGAACTGAATCTGGGATCTTTCGGGCCGTTCTAAAAGCGGATCCAAGTTTTGATGAACCACCTTGGCCTTCTCTATCTTCTGGGGCAAAAGACTTTATAAAGCGCTTATTGAACAAGGACCCACGGAAAAGAATGACAGCTGCACAAGCCTTGAGTCAGTGTCTCAACCCGTCAAAGTTCCTAGTTATATTCCTGAAGCACTACTTAAAAATCATTTTTTGTAGGTCATCCATGGATTAAAAATAACAATGACATAAAAGTGCCCCTGGATTTACTAATCTTCAGACTCATGAAGGCTTATATGCGTTCATCCGCTCTTCGAAAAGCTGCTTTGCGGGTATGTATATGTTGCTACAGTTCCTGTTTCTGCTTGAATTCATGTGCCTAGTAATTGAAATAAATTCTTTTCATTAGCTTTGCCTTTTGTAATTGCAACAAGAAGTTGCTTGAAAACAGTGTAAAGGGTACAACAGCTGTCTTGAGAATCTATCTCCTTCTATGTGATTTTATGTGTTTTAAATACCTTACTATATTTAGTTATAGAAGAGAGATTCAGGTCCACTGGGTGCACATTAGTTTTGTAATCTTCTTAGTAGTCTTTTTATTTTTTATTGGCAGCTTCATACATAGTAGTCTATCATGACAACGGAATTATCCTTCCGACGTGAACAATCTAAGTGATGTGCATTTTTTTTTTCTCCTCTTCTTGATTGCAATCTAAATTCTGAAACAAACGGTTTTTCATTCAATTATTGTCAGATAGGTAATTTGTTAGTGATTAAACTGCCATGTTGTCTTAGAATTTGTTGGAAATCATTGTTGAATTGATTCTTTTGATACTGGGCATTAATTGGTTTTATATCAAAGAAGTTAAATCTGCGAAGGACACTTAAATTTCATGCTCAAGCACTTTAAATATTACCACAGGGTCCTGAAGCATTATTATGCAATGATTGGTTATAAACTTACAGTAACACTTAAATGAAAGTAATCTGATTGCAAAAATACCCCCAGTTGGATCGTGAGATGTAGTTCTAATGACCATCGGAAATTATGCTCCCTTGAAGTTATGTTTTAACATTATTTTATGGTGATGCTTAATTTGCATTTGTTTTGTTTTCTATTCAATTTTTGTTTTCCATTTGACATGTTATTTTCTTCTTGTAAACATTCTAATAGTTCGTTTCCCAATTTTTTTTTTATTTTTTTTTTTTTTATTTTCTCATGTTATGTGGCAGGCTTTGGCCAAAACATTGACAGTGTATGAGCTAAGTTATTTGAAGGAGCAGTTTGTGCTATTGGAACCAAACGAAAGTGGCACCATAAGCTTGGACAATGTTAAAGCGGTTGGTTTCTTTTTTGTTTTTTGGAAAGAGTACTAAAAAAAAAAAAGGAATATTAAAGTGGTTGGTTGAAGGAAAACTGTTTATTTGCTGTATTTAATGTATATGTTGCTCCAAAATATTTTTTATTTGGTCAGGCCTTGACGAAAAGTGCAACAGATGCTATGAAGGAGTCTCACGTCCTTGAATTTCTTACATCAGTATGTGCTTTGACTGTGATGGTGGATGTGCAATCAACAATTGTTTTCTCTATGGTGTTCTAATTTTTGGAGTGAAATTGTTCTCTCTTCTTTTGTGACAGCTTAATGCACTTCAATACAGAAAGATGAACTTTGAAGAATTCTGTGCGGCTTCATTAAGTGTCTATCAGCTTGAGTCTCTTGATCGATGGGAGCAACATGCTCATCAAGCTTATGAACTCTTTGAGATGGATGGAAACAGGGCTATTGTCATTGAGGAACTGGCTTCTGTAAGTTGGTTCATGTTCCTGGGCACCATTTTTTTAATCATTCTCTCAATTAATGCAAGACCTAAGTATTGTATACATTACCACTGTGTGTTTGGCCAGAAAACATTTTCTGGCTTTTGGTGCAACGGTAAATGAAAATGATAGTCAACAAAAAAAACAAGCTTATTTGGACATAAAATGTTTTTCACTTTTAGAAGGTTGGAAAATATTTTTGGACTAAAGTCTTTACTAATGCCATCACACTAACACAGCCATTGTCACCTCTACCACACCACCACCACCACTACCACGGCACTGCCACCACCTCCATCACCTCCACCACCACTACTACAACAACTAGTACATTAGTTTCAAGGATGCAATCAAACAAAATTAAACATTTTGTACATAAAACATTTTCAGCCGAAACAAACAGAGCATACATTTTACATGCATTACTGTAATGTTCATGCTATATTACAGATGAAGTTTTTTGAGTTCATCATGTCAACAGACACAAACTTAGACTGTCAAATGGTATTTTGGAAATTGTATCAGGAACTAGGTGTTGGCCCATCTGTTCCCGTTCACGCTGTTCTTCATGACTGGATTAGGCACACGGATGGGAAGCTAAGTTTCCTTGGGTTTGTCAAGTTGTTGCATGGTGTGTCTAGCCGGTCCGTTGCTAAAGCTCAATAATATCATAAGACCATACAGTGCCCTCAATTACTGGTTTCTTCTCTCTGTTGTCTTGGCAATAAAAATGCCTGATAAGAAGCTGTTAAGAAACTTCTTAATCCTTTCCACTGTTGCAAACATGGCACAGCACTCCTCATCTTGAAACAGGTATTGTGTTTCATAAGTATAGCATGAGCCCGTATGCACTGTTTCCACTTGGGGAGGTTTGGTGCAGTGACATGACCGTAGTGCCATTTGAGCAATGAAGCACAAGAATGTGTTCCCACTGTAAAGTTGTAGTCAGATTTGTATTCAATTGCAGGACCTGTTGGATTTATTTTGTTTCATCCCTTTTTATTTTCAAAAGAAAGAAAAGGAGATGAAAATGGGAAATATTTCACAACTGGTTTACAGACTTTCATACCTGCTGGGTTTTTGTTGTTTTTTCACTGACATATTGGACTGGCCTCTAGTGCCTGAAATTGCCTTGTATCATCTGATGTGCTCTATATATGTATCTTCTAGTTATTGGATCTCTGTTCAACTTTTACCACTTCTTTATATTGTTCAAAGTGGTGGTATTAGGCTCAGAACAACTGTAAATCTTGGAACTAATGGAAATTGCCTGATCTTCCTTGTCAAACTGATAGATTTAGCCATCACAATGCCAAGATGATGATGATGATCTTTTATTTGTCATAACTGGATTAGATTAGATAACTAATGGACAAACTAGATCATGCAGGATCGTTGGGCTCGCTAGAGATGAATTCCTTGTGAAAAAAATGTCGTTATTCTCACAGAGAAAGTTGAGCGGCTCGGACAGATAGAGTTAGACAAATGATGAAAAAATAACAAAAAATTTTTAAAATTTTCAAAATGAGTGAAAAAAGTTTTCATTTTATCTTGAGGGCTGCAATCATGCTTTGATATCGATTACATAATTTAATGTTTAAAAAATATCATATATATATATATATATATTATTAAAAGTAGTATTTTTCTCATGTTTAAGTGGCGCATTATAAGAGTATTTTTTTAAAAAAAAAGTCACGTCAGTGTGTATTTTCTTAATTATATATAAGTTTTATACAAACTTAAACTTTATTTAAATTATTTTAACTTTGTTTATTTTATATGAACAATAAATATTTCTTTTCCATATATTTTTCATGATAAATTGAGATAATTCACAAACCCCATGTTTTTCTTTTTAATTCTTTCAAGGGTATTAGAATTTTTTTTAATGTGAAATTACTTTTTTTGTTCTTATTTTCTCATGCATTATTCTATATTCAATATTAATTATATATTATGAATTTGTTGTTTAAATTTTATAGTGATTCTATGTATAAAATTATACTTCCTTTGCTACATTATTTTATATAATTACAACTCACAAGAGGAAAAATTTGCACAACAAAGATACTGGCCCTGTTTGGCACAGCTTTTTTCCAGCTTATTTCAGCTTTCAGCTTAATTTAAGCTATTTTGATGTGTTTAGTTTAACTTAACAATGCAGCTTATAGCTTTTTATAAGTCAGAAATCAGCTTATTTTTTTAGTGGAGCAGGAGAAACTTAATTTATAAGTCAGAAATTAGCTTATTTTCATAGTTATAAGGTATAAGCTGTTAAGACATAAGTTATAAGCACTTTCCCACAGCTCTACCAAACAGGGCCACTCTGGAAGAACCTCTAAAGTTTAAATTTACTAATTGAGTTACTTTTTCAATTGTTGAACAATAATTTCTTTTATGTTTTGATATTATATTACAAATGATTAATCACTTCACACACTAAGATGTATCTACCGTTTGGATGTTTTTATTATTTTTTCTTTTTGGATTTAGATGTTGTTGTATGATTTTTTCTTGGTTAGTCATTGTTGAATTTTTTTTTATATAGTTGATATTTTAATTTAATTAAGAGTATTTATTTTACAATCTTATAATTATATATATATATATATCATATAAAATCATGGGAAATTTTTTTTAAGTTCCCAATAATAGTAATTTAGAAAATAAAGGACACCAAAAAAATGGATGATACATCAGGTCCCTCAACTAGAACGCGCGCATTTTCAATTCTTTCTTGGATCAAAATACCCTTTACAAATCAACTGAGAACACTCCATTAGATTCCGATGACTCCGTTCCATTCCAAACATCCAACCATCTTTACGAGTAAGAGAATAGGGGAATTAGGGTTTCACAATCATCTTCACTATTGACATTATGGTTTCATTATCTTTTACCAAAATCTTTTCCATTCCTTCTTTACAAATTTCTTTGACCCGTTTTCACTATTCATCGTCATCTCAGTTCATCTTCATCTCAGGGCATATTAGTTCGTAATTAGGGTTTCATCATCACTCTAGTACGTTTTCTACAATCCAACGAGTTTTTCTCTGGAAACATAGTTAATTGCATATTATATTAGCCTTCCATTAATTAGGATTTCAATTTCGTAATAAAAAGCTACATGAATTTGAAAAATGTTATTTCTCTAAGTTTTAAACTTATTCTTAAAGATGTTGTGTGATTTTGTCTATAGATTTCTCTGTCATTTGAATTTCTCTGGTATTGGCTTGATATATGTTTCTTCTTTGAATTTTCTCTGGCATATTTATTCTCCCATTTGTTTCTGTTTATTCCCTTATTTTCTTTGGCATGGTTAATTTCTCTGTATTTCTCTGTGTAATTTTCAAATATAATTCATTCAAATTTCTCTACTCTATAAATTTCTCTAGCTTGCCATGTTTAATTTTCTCTGGCAAGTGTAATTTTCTGTGTCATTTTCATTTTCTATGCTTGCTAGATTTATGTTTCTTTCTTGAATTTTCCCTGGCTATGTTTTACATCTATATGTAATTTTACTCTCTTGTCTGTGTCCATGTTTCTCTAGCATTCATAATTTTCTCTGGTCACATCACTTTTCTCCCTTGTGTGTGTCTGTCCTGTTTAATTTTCTCTGGTTGTTTGTAAATTTCTCTGGCATTTTCATATTATGGAATGGAAATTTTCTCTAACTTTCCATGTTTAATTTTCTCTGGCATGCATCATTTTCATTTTTTGTGCTTGTTAGATTTATGTTTCTTTTTTGAATTTTCTCTGGCTACATTATACATATATATGTAATTTTACTCTCTTGTCTATGTCTATGTTTCTTTGGCATTTATAATTTTCTCTAGCCACATCACTTTTCTCCCTTGTGTGTGTCTGACATGTTTAATTCTCTCTGGTTGTCTGTAAATTTCTTTGGCATTTTCATATTATGGAATGGAAATTTTCTCTAGCCTGCCATGTTTAATTTTCTCTAGCATGTTTATTTTGTTCAATTCTTGGTTTCTCTATTCTGCAAGTTTCTATGGCATCGCTTTGTTTATTTTATCTTGTTAATTGTGGAATGAAAATTTTGTCTGGCTTGTCATGTTTATTAGTACTCTGTCATTTAATTTTCAGCGTCTAATTTTTTCTGACATTTATAATTTTCTCTGGTCACCTTAATTTTCTCCCTTATGTGTAATTTTCTCTGACATGTTCAATTTTCTCTAGCATATTCAATTTTCTCTGAAATTTAATGTTGACATTTTTATGTTTTCATTGTCTAGAAATGGCAAAACGTAAAAGCAGCAAAATACCAGAAACACCAAGAAAGAAACAAAAACTCTCTCAGCCTTCTTATGATCTTAGATCAAAAAGCAGCAAAACACCACAAACTCCTCGCCAAAAAACAGAAGTCCTAGGTGATGAAGCAACAAGCATCAAGATGAATACCCCAACTTCAAAAGACTCAAGCTCAACGAGAAAAAAACTTGTTAAACTCCAAAGAAAAAGAGCTCATTACAACATTCAATACGGATCTATCATCTCATCCGTTGTCTCCTTTTTTCAAACACTTAAATTTAATTCAAAGCAACTTGAAAAGCTTCCAAAGACGCCATTCTGGTATTTGATCCAAGCTCTAACCAGTAGAAGGATGGATCCAAGAAAGTCTAGGAAATCTTATGATGATGTAGTTTCAATAATCCAACGTTACAATGAAAAAAAGAAAGCATTCATTGTTGGTAAAAAGAACTTGACCTTTACAACCAATAACATAACATTGATTTTTGGTTTGCAAGGCGGTAAAGGAGCCATGACGCGCCTGAAAGCTGTCTGTCATTCGTCTGCGCCGTCTGACGCGTACGTTGCTCCAGGCGTAATAAATGCCCTATTTTTGCCGCCGTTTCAAGTTTTGATAAAACTTTTCTTTCCATCTTTTTCCCTTTGCTTTACACATTCGTTTTTCTAGCTCTCTCTCTCTAACTTTCTGAAATCCGCCATTGTTTTAACTCGAAGTTCTGCGATTCTTTGTCCCTTCACCTTAGTGAAGTTTCCTCCGTCTCGTCGTGCCTGCAATCGTTACCATTTCTCGGCGTCGTTCTTTCCGACTTCATTTGTTCTGGTAAGGTCCTGTTCCCTTTACACCCAATCTCTTTTATATGCTTTTACCATTACTGCTTTGTTCAAACCTTGGATCCGCTGAACTGTTATCTGGATGTGTCTATTCATGATTTCACTTATATTTTGAACACTTGCACTGTTTCAACACTTTTCTTGCCATAATTCTTGACCTTTAACCCCTTGTATTCTCCATGTTTCTGATAGCCCATCTTTATTCTTGAATCTGAAACTTCTCCTTTGTTTTCTTGTTTTTTCGTATCTGTTCCAGATCTGTGCCTTCGATCTTGACCTTTATAGTTCTTTGGCTTGGGATTTGTGTGTAGAACCTTCAATTTTTTAGGGAAAACTGAAACAAGCCTTATCAGTCATTTCCTAGGTCTTTGCCGAGGTTCTTGCAACCCTTCTTTAAACGCCCATCTTCTGAAACACATTCTTCTTTGTTTAGGTTGACGTAATGGGTATGTGGAGGCATAGGGTAAATACCCCAACAAAACTCGAATACTTTAGGCAGGAATTCTCTATCCCAGCCGATGTTCACCTTAAGCTAGCTGGGGATGATGATACCATCATGCCCACAGACCATACAATGCCCTTTCCTATAGTAGCCTTTACTGAATGTGGACTTCGGCTTCCACTTAATCCCCTGTTTCGTGAAGTTCTTTATTTCTACAAGCTGAACCCCATGCAACTTACTATCAACTCCTATAGGGTGATTAACGGTATTATAGCTTTAGCTAGGCAAGAGAATCTTAGGATCACCCTGGCCGACCTTCAGTACTGTTATACAATGTGCCCCCTCAACCTGAAGGAAAGGGGCTTTGTTTATTACCTTAAGCCGAGGTCTACCGAGTTCAAAATTGTAGCCGACCTCCCAGACTCTAATAAGGGGGCTGGGGATGACTTTGTTATCGCTTCGGGAATTTGGGAATTTGGCCCAGATGAAGATGTCCATCTCTACCCTCTTCCTCGAACAGTTAAAGAGGGCAAGGGTAAGAGCCCAGTGCCAACACTTAGTTGTTTTTATTTAAGTTTTTCAAAATTTTGTCTGTTTCTAATGTCTGTTTGCTTGTCCTGCAGATCTTCATCAACCACCAAAAAACTTCCGTCAATCCTTCTTCCCTGGGAAAGACTTAAAGAAGCTTCTTGGTCTTCCAATCCATAAGCGCAAGGCTCCCTTGTTGCTGAACTTCATTC